ACAATGATGAGTAAGTAAAGGTAAGATGATAAAGTGCAAAAAATAAGCTCATGATGATGAACCTCATTTTCAACATTTTTTTCTCTTCTTACCTTTCCATTGACTCTTTTTCATCTTTTTTTCATTTCTATTTTTCTCACCTTCTAATGTTCAATACAAGGTACACTGCTACTCATCATGTAATGTTGATCAGAGGCTCTTTTGTGTGATGGGCAGGAGTGATTGAGTGTGGGTCTGGTTAGGCTGTGTTAATGTGGTTCATTGTCATTGTGAACATGATGATGAGGATGAGGATGAAAAGGACAGGAAACAAAAGGAAAAAAAGTGTTTCACATTTTTTTCTATTCCCTGTGCCTCACTCCCTGTTGTATCATGGGAATGAAAAGATTTGGGATGAAAAAAATGAGAAGGATGTTGGTGATGATGAGGAGGAGGAGAAGGATAATAGAGTTGGAGCAAGAATTGATAAAAATAGGTGTATCACAAAGGATTAACTTATTGTTAACAGTATATTTAGTGTGTGAGAATAAAGAGTGAAGAGAAAAAAAAGTTGTTCATTGTTTGATAGTGTTAATGAATTTGTGATCAAAGTGTTGCCTTTCACTATATTCTGAAACTCTCATGTTCATTAAAACTTATTTTATTGTTTAACTAATGACGAGGATAAAAAATTAGTTGATACAGAAATTGATGAACCTGATGATTGATAACGCTCCTTTTGTTGGCCTCGTTTGATTCAATTCATTTCTATTTCAGCTATAAATTGCATCATTAGCATCTGATGAATTGTCTCCTAATAAAAACATCCAGTTGATAAAAATATTTCTTACCAAAGTCTCGGTCTCTGAGAATGGAGCAAAATTCATATTCAACCATAACACTTCGCTATTGGAAATAATACGATTTTTATAATATAACGCACTTTTTGGTCATAAATAAGTAGCTTCAGAAGCTAAAAATCTGCTGTTCGAATCATTAGCTTCGGTGAATTAAAAAGCTTTAAAGATTTAAGACCGTAGTACCGTAAGTTTTTCAGTGCTTTCTTCTGTCCAATATTTTAGTCACTTTTCAGATTACCAATTACAAGAAATTGATTTATTGCAGAACCTTTGATAAAACATTGTATTTCTAGGCAACTCGAGCTAAGAGGCTAAAAGTCTGGACCCTTGCAACCGAGAGCAGCAAACGTCTCAAGTCAAGGTAAGTTGAGATGGTCGGCTTGCTCGAACCTTTTCTGTTTTACAAGTTTTCTGTACTTGCAATCACGCAACTGATTTACCGATTAGGACCAATCTTTTCGTTGCTTCTTGCAATTATCTGTTAGTCAATTCCAATTGTACGTTTTTCAAACGAAAACCAAATGCATTATTATTGCTTGAAAATGCACTCTTAACTCAATGTGCGACTGTAAACATTTTTTCCTAGTTTATGAAGCTGGATAATGAATAGATGTTTTTGTGGATTTTGTACCATTTAACATCTTTTTGTTTGTACTTCAAAGAACCATTTTTGTGATCCGAGTTTTGTCGTATGGTTTATCAAAGAAAGCATCAAGTGAACATCAAATTGCTGCGACAAAAGTCAACGAAAATAGAGCGGACAAACTAAGAAAAAGGAAAGAGTAAAGAAGGTAAAAGTGGCAAAAAACAATCACTTCAAGTGCACCACTTTCTCTATCCATTTTAATCGATATTCAGCTAATCTCAAACCTATTGATGTCCTTTTTGTGGTTCAATTGTGCAAAAATCACAAAAACATTTCATCCTTTCATCATTATTCAATCGCTAAAAGCTTTTCAAGACTTTTCCATGACGAAAAAGTCTAAATAACAGATAATCTTCATTTCGAAAACATGCTGAATTCTGAATGTTTATTTTGATACAATCCTTTTTCGTGTTACCACCAACATGATCATCATCATCACCATAATAATAATCAGCCTCATCATGCAAGTTTATGCAAAAAGATCAAACTCAAAGTTGCAGTTGATGAAAGGTTGTCATTAGTAAAAACAGTCACAAAAGAAGTAACAAAAAAAAGTTTACTTTTGCTCTTCTCTTTCATTTGCATCATCACCAGTTTCATCATGATTATCATGAAACACACACAAACGAAGAAGAAAAAAAAACAGTTTGAAACAAGAGGAATAAAATCACATTAGAAAATGAGATTAAATTTACAATTGAATGGGAAGAGAGTCAAAAATGGAAATAGCAAGGTTCAGGAATTCATTGACAGTCACCATGTTTCACCATGGAATCAAAGTTCATTTTATCCTCTTTTTTTCTCTCCCTTGTTCATCAAAAGTAAATTTATTCAACACTATAATTCAAGTTTACACAAATTTCATTTCACCATTTAATTTACTTTTTCAGCCTTTTCAGCTTCTCTTTAAACATTGAACTTTTTTTGTCAATTCAAATGTTTATCATTGCTAATCAAGAAATTTCATGTCACAATGAAGTCGACAGTTGAAGGTAAAAACAATTCAATGTTTGCAGTTAAATGAAACAGATTCACTTGGCATATTCAACCATCATCAATGAGAAAATCATGATTTGTGGAAAAGTTTCCAGTCTCTAGTTGATAAGTTCAGATAAGAATTGAAGCTGAATTTTGTAGAAATGCAAGAATTTCATTTATTGTGAATTTTTCTTCTTCCAACTAATAATGAACATTATCTGTTCTATCAACTATTGCAAGTTGCATTAATTTAAGAATTTCATGTTCTCATGATGATAATAAAGATAATGATGGTGATATTAATATTTAGTGAAGAATCATTAAACACATTTTTTCTCCAGTATTTCATGGAAAATAAAATTTCATTAAATGCAATTTCAATTCAAAATGTGAACCTTTTCTAGATACTCGACTAGTTTCACTATTATCATGATATTAGGGTGTTAAAATGGAATTTAAAGTTAATCATTTTTCACCCTTTTCTCTCTTCTCACAATCAATCATGTAAAGCATAATAAATCTCAGTTGTACAAGATGAACCAAGCAGGATGAAAATTACACAGAAAAGGAAGAAAAATTGAACCAAATTTGTCATGTTTAAAAGTGAATCTTGCAAATTGTTCAAACTTGGATTTAAAACTTAATGTTTCCAGATGAATGTAGCAATTAATATTAACAGATAAATTGTCGATATTGAATCATCTCCAGGTAAAACTGTATTTCAATGAAAATGTTGAGTCTATAAATTGGATAAAAACTTTTTCTATTTGAATAAACTTTTTTTCCTATTTTATTGACTTGCAAATCGAAGTTGGTTCAAGTTGCAAAATCAGAATAATCAGGTAAATCATTATATGCAAACTCAATGAGCATGATGAATGAGCTGAGCAAAATATGGAAACATTTTCAAGAAAAAGCAACTTGAGTTGAACACTAAACTATTTATCAGCTGAAAGAGTTTTTATTCAACTTTTTTGTCGAACAAAGTTTGACAAAATTGGACCAAAAATGATAACAAATGCTTCATGTTTATCGACTTTTACTAGGTAAAGCTTGGCAGAGAATGAAAATGTTGGCTCAATTTTTCGTGAGATTTATTGGTTAGAGAAGTCGAGTAAATACATTGGAAAACAAAAGATGAAGGGGGAAACGATGAGGCAAGGGAGAAGGAAAAAAAACTGGAAATTCTGATTCAGAGTCGAAAAAATGGGAGAAAAAATGAAATGGAAAAAAAGAGTTTGACGTTTGAAAAGTCAACAGAGCATCACGAACATTATATTTTTGGCTTTTCATGTGGTTGACGAAGCGAAAACCAATCTTGATACGAAACTTGTATGTTGTTATTACTATCATTATACTCATGATGGCAACACATAAATTTGCTGTTGAAACTCATCATATTGAAACTTTTTACTGTCACAATCAAAGTTACCATTCAATCTTTCATTTGATAATAAAATTCATTCTACTTCTTTTTTCCACTTCTCTATATCATTGACATTACAAGTTATTGCTTTTTATTATCACTATTATCATGCATTATGTAAAGTCGTTCCCAGCATTTCTTACCAATGGCTTGTTCTGGTTATGAATCAACAGTAAACTTGGAAAAGTGAGAAAAGACAAAAACTTTTGCAATTTGATTCTTTTGGTGAACATTCAGTTATTATTCTTTCTTTACCTTTTCAAATGATTTTATCATGTTCAACATTATCATGTTTCATGGAAAAGATGAATCGATTCTCATTGAGTGAGTTCAATTAGGTGAAACTTGGTGATGAGAGAAATTTGTTGCTCTTTGAAAATGAAAAGCTATTCAGTTTAGCCAATGTTCAACTGGGATTCACTCCCAGTTTTCAGTTTGAGAGGTAAAATTGTGTCTGTAATTGAACTTTGAATGTTAAACAGGTGAAGTTACTTGGCTGATCAAATGACGATATTGATGGCCAGTTTGTTTTAAGAAATAATGATGTTTAGTTGGAAACAAACAAGGTTGAAGATGAGGTTGAATAAAGGCTTTTGATCAATTCCTTTTTTTGTCTCATTCTTTATCTTGCTTCTGTTTCTTCCTTTTCTTCCTGCCTTTTGTCTTCGAGTTGTGTTCAAATGACCTGATGAAAATAATGTGCTTGGTAAATGGTAAATGACTTACACAAATCTTGATATTATCTAACCAATCACAAGTCATTTAACAAATTCTGTGTACAGAATTGATAACATGGAAGAAAGGAGAAGAAATGGAGAAGAAATGGAGAAGAAGAAGAAGAAGCCAAAAGTTGGATAAACTAATGATGGGCAACACAAATAATAACGATAATGATTTAAGGGTAAAAGAATAACAATTGATATTAAGTATAATCGTCATCATAATAAGACAAGTATCAATAATATCAGGGATAATAACATGATAATTCAGGAATAATAATCTTAATACGGAGATATATTATTATTGGTATTATTATCACTTTCAATCGTTTGGAGTAAATATTTTTGTCTAATCAATATTGCACAGATTAATGTGATTAATAACAACTTACTGAATCCATTCTCCTTCCAAGGCAATTATTCGCTTGATTAATCGTTGTTTGGGCTTTTTAGGTGACCTGGAATATACAGGGGAGAGAAAAAGATATTTTTCAGTTTCACTTCAAAATTAATCACTCTCGACACATTCTATTGCTTCGGTCTCATACAGTTTGACTTTTAAAGATTTTACTTAATCTAACGGAATATGTCCATCTAATATTATTACGTACTATTAATAAATGTTATAAAATGACAAAAATTTTATCGTACAGAGGGCCCAATTGATGGAACTTGTTTGAGCATATTATTTTCGAATTTAAACATTGCCGAAATTTCGTATAGATTTCGGTAAAAGCAGCCGTCAATGAAATAATTACATTGGTTCGGGAACAACCCCTTTAAAAGGGTTGTTTTTCGAGTATATTAAAGAGAAAAAACAATTTTCCAATATCATTATCAACTCGAAATGGTTTTTGTAACCGCATCCCGTCTGAGATACGAGTGCATGGAATCAATTTTGAAAAAGGCCCTTAAGAATCCATATAGACATAACTTCCGTACAATTTGATATAACTTCCGTACAAGCCTCAGACATTAACCTAGAGCTTCCACACATTGAGAATCATAAGTTCAAATGCTCAAGGTCATTCAAGGTGAATCCGTGATTTAACCTCAGATTGACATTTGGAGGTCGTTTTCCAAAGTTTTAAGATCCTTCAGAAAATAAGGCACAACTGAACAAATTAACTTTTTAGAAACATTATATACATTTTCCTTACAAGAATTTGGACTTCCTGGTCCAAATTTTGTTCTTCATCGTCCATATTGGCAAATTCAGGAGAAATCACATAAAAGATGATACAATTAAAAGAAACAAATTGTTAAAGACAAACGTTGTTTAAAAAAGAGCGACATAATAATTTTATGCAAAGAGTAAGGTACTCTTTGATTTTATGTTAGTTGAAGTAACTAAGAAACTTCATTTTAACTTACTTCGATCAAAATTGCCGTTGAATTTATAAGCTTCAAGTTTTGCATAAAAAAAGCGATTAAAGCTACATAATCGGGTAAGAGAAATTTTGCGATTTCTGAAAATGACCTTCCAATGTCAATTAGAGGTCAAATAATGAATTGACCTTTAGTAACCTTGAGCGCTCGAACTTATGGCTGTGCAATCTGCATAACCTCATGGTTCAAGTTTGAGGTCTGTAGCACTAACGCTGTGTGAGTTATGCCTGCATGAAGGCATAGAATGAAAAAAAACGCTAGGTATGAATTTGCTCTTCAATGATTTTAATTGAAATTTTAGGTTTCGGAAGGTTGATCGGGAATCGATTCTCATATCACGTCTTTGCTCTGATTTTTAAGGCATTCGCTCTATTTGACTAACATTTAAAGGACATTCTCTGAAACCGAGAGTTTCTTTGAATCATCGACTTAAGCGTTGAAGCCATGAAAGTCTGCTTCGCTCAGTCTGATTGATAATAGCTACAATGGATGTGAAAAGATTTTTTCTTAATAAATATTCATTGAATTGAAGATCTAATAGATGTTTATACAAGTCGATAGAATTCATTTTGAACATTGATAAATGTCGCTTTGAATAAGGAAAAGTTAATTTGTCATGGAATTTTTGGAAATATTGAAAAACTGATCAAGAAATAGTATTACTAAAGGAAAGTGCATGATGAATGGTTGAAAATGATGATAAGAATCTTGAAATTGTTTTGGTAAACCACAAATGTTTTGTCTCCTTTTTTTATTTATTTATATTCTTTCTTTCATCTTGCCTCATTTTCATCATGATGATCATTTCTTTTCCATTTTCCGCCTTTCTTTTTCCTTTCTTTCATCCTCATTTGATCAAGGTTCATCTCTTTTATCAACAAGCTGGAATGAATGAACATTCCAAGTGATGAAAGTCCAAGGATTGATGGTTTCAACTTATGATCGACAAATAATATTATAGTTTAAATATTATCAGTCTGAGCTTGTAAAGTAATTCTGGTTCAACTTGTTTATCCACTTTCACCATCTTATTCAGGCTCACCCTAATCATCCAGATGTTCACCAGAAAATGAAAGATTCCAGTTGACTTATTTCAAATTTCTTTGGTTAACGAACAATTGCAATGAAATTAATTGTTTCCCATCAAATCCTTAGCCAAAGTTGTTCAACAAATGTAAGTCAAGTGCAAGTTTAACATGAGGTTTGCTTTGTTCATTGGGCTCTTTGGTTACACAAATGTTTACCTTAGTTTATTGTTGACATAAAAGGTGAGATTTGGTGAGAAATCCAGAATCAATTAGAAAAGCGAATTGAGCAAATAATTATTACAAGCAATTTACCTTTGCAATTATATTTGGATCAAGAGAAAATGAAAAAATCTTTTTTTCCCCAAAACTTTTTCGATCAACTTTTCAACTGAAAAAATTAAGGCTTAGTAAACATTTCTTTGAATCTTTCATTTCAATGTAACTCTTGTATCAAGTTTACGATTTAATCAGAAATGGAGATGAATTTGTAATTACTCTTGAGCATGTAAAATGAGAATGGAACTGAATTGTGAGTTTAATTGAAATGCATCAAGATTCGAGTTTCACTTGAAACAATTCTTTTTATTGTACTCTGCTTTCCAACTGTCAATTGAATAAGTTAACAGCAATAATAAAGCGATTATTATGATTAATATTGAAACCTTTTTAAGGCTCGTTTTTATCCTTATCTTGTTATAACAAGGAAACTGATGATCTTGTTTTATCCCAATAATTACTTTGCAAGGGAAAGGATGAAGAAGATGAAAATGATGAGAAAAAACTTGAAGCTGACAAAAAGGCTTAGGAAAGATGATTAAGAAGATATTAGAGAAGCTGGGAGGCAATAAAAGAAAGAATTGAACAGAGAAAAAAGTCTCTCTTCTTGTTTCAAGATATTACTTGTTTTAGGATGATGATGATGATGATGATGACGAAGACGAAGACGAAGACGAGGGAAATGATGATGATGACGATACCTGGAAGTGTATGTTGTTAATCTTTTGAGCTCTTCTCTTTATAATCATCCGATTTGATTGACGAGTAACAATCATTTTCAATGTAATCAGATTTCCTGTCAGAAGTAAAAGTAACTGGTTATGATGATGAAGATGAAGAGAACGATTGAGATGATAATGATGATGTTGGTGAAAAGGGATCAAAAAGCGCAATTGTTGCGATCAGTAAGTTGCAAGTTTTTTTTCATTTGTTGTTGCAGTTGCACACACAATGAAAGTATCGACTAAAAGTCGAGTATAAAGACAATAGGAAGTTGGTAAATGTTGGTTAACAGTGAAAAAATGCAACAGCAGCTGACGATTTACTAGAAGTTGCAAAAACTCACGCAACAAAACAGAATAGATTAAGTTAATCGTTGCAGGTTTTGATAATGATAACATGTCAAAAGTAAAAGTTGACCTTTTTCTGGTTAATGATAGCAAGTTGCCGATCAATCATTATTGATTCGTAAGTCAATAAGGAACAAAAAGAGCAAAAACTTTATTTTAGCCAATTGTTTAGTTGAAGGTCGACCGTAAATGTCTAGTCATCTAGGGCTGGCTTTGGTTCAACAAGGGTCTCATAGCGAGGGTTTACGAAGTTTTTTTTAACATCGAAAATTGAAAATCTTGAAATAATTTCAATGTTAAATGAAAATTTTTTAAGCCCTCGTAATGAGACGATAGTTGATCCAAATCAGTCCACAGACATCCCAATGAACATAAAATTTTTGGGAAGTAAAAAAAGATTCAAATTTTACTCAATTTTTTGGGGAATTTTTGTAGAGTAAACGTTTACTTCTTTTTTACTTTGGGTCATCGAAATTTTCACAAAACTGTGAATCTTTGTATTTTTGGCCCCTTTTTGGTAAGAAGAATCATGAAATGGCGATGATTCTTTTTGAAAATTCCACGAAAAGACACGAAACAGCGTAAAAACTCGGATTCGTGACGAGAATCATGTTACTTGATAAGAAGAATCATTTTTTAAAGAATCATAGAATAGAGAATGGACCTCATAATTAAGTTTTTTTGCGTTCAGGAAGAATCTTGGATGACAGGGACAAAATCTTTAGAAATTATTTGGATAGAGAATCAGAATCACATAAAAAATTCGAAAATTTGAATTCTGGACAGAAAAGTTATGATCATTGAGACTTGAAGCAGAATCAACCGCTGATGATTCATCAAAACTTAATCAATTTAAAAATTATTATCAAGCATTAAGTATTATAAAACTTATTTATAGCTACTTTAATCTTAGGACCCCTTTTGTAGCCGAGTGGGTTGGAGAACAGTACAGTCCCATGTGGGTCCCGGGTTCAAAACCAGCTAGTGTCAGGTATTTAAAACAGAGTGACGTCACGAGACCATGAATGACTCTTGACCTTAAGAATCTCAATTAGTGTAGAATCTTAATTAGTTTTGAGAATCTAGTAGAATGATTTTGAATCATTCAGAAAATTTTATATGAATTTTTATTTGTCGCAAAATTTTTTGAACTTCTTTTTACTCCTTTTTTATTGTCTTTTACTCAAAAAAAAGTTTTTACTCTCGTAAGAGTCAATTGTCTTTCTTAGCCTTTTTTGACTCACTTTTGAGTAAACACTGTTCAGTGGGATGATAGTCTGTAGAAAGAATTTTTTAGAGCAATCGGTAAATTATTTTTTAAATTCATCTGCAATTAGAATAAACTCTCATTAATTGACATGTTCTCAATAAGTCTATCATTTTTTATGAACAGTATAAAATTTTGCTATAAATAGAGTAGAAATAATTTCATATAAAGAACGCCCGTGAATCGTTCAATGAAGTTCAAGCTGGTGATAAAAAACTCTAAGGTCCTGAGACTGAAGTAAAATTTAGTTTGCTCTTTCAAAACTACCCAATAAAGTATTGACATCAGGAATAAAAATACATGAGTTTCGCTCACGATAATAAACATTAGAAATGGTCGATATCTGAATATATTATTCATGAATCATTTTCTTAGATAATCAATTGAGAATTTTTAAAATGACGATCAATTCGGAGCGATATAACTAT